CTTCAATATGTTAAACTTAAGAATGTGATGACCTTGTAAGAAAGTCCTTTTTCAACTGAGAATGGAAACAAAGGAAAGAGCATGAAAGCACTAACACTTTGGTGAAAATTATCCTCCCTCCGTCCTAAAAGGAGTCTTGTCTCAAGAACTTTTATTTGTTCGAGGAAAATAACCTGATTTTATACTTGACTTTCATTTTCTTGTCAAGTCAAGTCATAATTGGTTCGATCAGTTATTCCAAATAATCTTTTCAAGCAAGGTTACCCACCCTGTAGAATGAACTGCAAATTATCCTTCCGGATTAATCCCTTCAAGTTTCTATAGGGTATTTGGGGGAGGGGTTACGTAGGGAAGGCGTTGTGTTTTTTATTTATAAATCAACAGATTTGTACTTCTTGGGGCATGCCTTCAGGGTAATTTGATTAGGACGATACGTTTATACATAGTACTATTTACCATTGGGGTAATTTGACTTCGCACCCTAATTTTCATATAATTAATATATCCACCCCGCCATTAAAAGAGCTCTGTTAGGAAGAATAACATTTTCCAGAAAGACAAAACTGCCCTTTCATGCAAGAATCCCCTAGAACTTTTGCCAGAAGATAATACCTGTACTGGAGTGTACCCTAAACCTTGGAGTTTCGAGTAGATCCCACAGGGCTCCATTAAAAGCTGGTAGAGAATAGAGATCCATCTTCCCAGAAAGGCACAAATATGAGATAGGGTGGATTGCTGAAGCGTGGTATGATGCTAGAGTAAAGTTGAGACCTTGTAAAAGAATAAGCAGTAAAGTCGAGAGACCAAAGATCTTTAGATAGTGCAAAAACCATGAAACAAATGAATTACCCCTCTAATTTTTGACGACAGACATTCTAAGAAAGTTATAACTGTGTGGTTGAAAATTAATTAGAGAGAGAAAAAATGTGTACCACATTATGTCCACATATTGCTTCCCTCAAAAGGAAATGGACTATTTTTGGGGCGGAGAAAACAGGAGAAAGTATTTAGTTAATCTAAGGAGAGAGGGAGTGCGTAGTAATTTGAGAGGGACATAATGAAAGTAACTTAGGAAAAATATTAAATAAATAAATATAAATAATTGATGCCTACAGATTTGCACTGGTTTCGTCTTACAAAAGCTTACTTGGAATCCTATAATGTACTCTGGATGGAGAAGCTTTGAGGAGTGTAGAAACTAGAAAGAGTGAGAACCAATGGGCAATGGATATGTTGAGTTCAGGTCATTTTGTCTTTCTAGCATGTGTTAACAGATTTTGAATGGTGTTATTTGAAAAATGAGGTGCCAAGTCTAATCCGTCTGAGAAACTGGGAGCAAAGTCAAATGACTCCTTTATCATTTTATATCACTCATTTGTAAAAAATAATCAAGAGCAATATTTCGTGAAATAAAAAATTGCCCCACCCTTTCGGCCTTTCCCCTGCAAATTTCCCCTCCCTAACTTATTCACTTCCATAGTGTCTTTCATATTTTTGGTCTTGATGGGGATGAGAATTTAGGAAGTGTGAGGATTGACTTGTGAGTATATTGTACTCCAGTAACTCCACTAGTTGAACTTTCTAGCAAATGTGGTGTTGCTATTACCTACTGTATGTTACTAGTTTATAAACAGAAAAAACAATGATAAAACATGAATGGTACCTGTGAACACCATGAATATCAGTGCAAATATTCACATGTGAATCCTCTGAATTGTTATTATTTCCATCTGTTTATTATTATACATTCATCTGATTCCACCACCAGGTCCCTGGCATACTCTTTACGCCAATCTGCCCACATTCCCTATCATTTAGACCACTTATCTTACCGGAGCATGTGACCCTTCGAGTGGTGGTGCCATACAACAGCAGGGGACATGCGTGGGCATCGTTTGATGGGAAAGACAGAAAACAACTGGCGCCTGGGGATGCACTTATCTGTAGCATGGCGCCTTGGCCTGTTCCAACTGCTTGTGAAACTAACTCTACCACCGACTTCTTACACAGTATCCACAATGGCCTTCATTGGAATGTCAGAAAGACCCAATCGTTTGACGGCCCTCGGGAATCATGACTTTGGTTGTCTTTCATTCAAATAATAAAATCATATGAAAGCCCTGAAAATAGGGGGCTCTTCATATGTAGTGTACTATTAACTAAATGCTAACACAAGGACAACAATAGATACTACCTACAAGTTCTTGCATACTCTACTTTTGGTTCGGATCAGATTAGTGCTGGACATGGTCTGGTACGGGACTGGCTGGTTCCCAGTTTCACAAAGGCTATAACTGGTATGGTTCAGGTTCTAGCCTCACCAAATGCGTATTCCGAACTCAAAATTGCATTGTTAGATCGAGGTGAAACCAGAGAAGAAAAGAAATTAAGTGTGTTGCTTGCGTAATAAGGGAAGCAGGGTAGAGAGAAGTGGGAGGGAAAGAGTTAACAGAAGAATCCATTAAAAATAGAGGCTTTTCCTAAAATATGACTAAATTAATGCTTATTTTCAAAAAAGTAATTATCTACTCTTGCATATGGACAATAATATGACTAATAAGGTAACGAAACAATTAAAAAAATTGTCTTCTAAAGTGTAGAGAAAGTGTGGAGGTAATATTTTGCCAATTTTCAAAGGGGAAATTCATACTAATAATCTATACTTACGAGAATAGATTCTACAATATTAATCCATACTAGAAATGTTGATAAAAACAATCCAAACTCATACAGTCATTCACACAACTACATCGAGTGAAACGGAGGTAATCACTCAGTCCAATTTTGCCGTCATACTCATTTGTGATGAATCCGACCTTACTTTTTTGCTACACTTTCTTCTACGCTGCATCATATCCCCATGCATTTCTGATCCCCCCTTATTTTATTCTTTACGCTCCATCTTAATTAAAAATCATTTTTTCTTACTAAAAAAATCAGTATTTCTTGCTTCCAAAGTTAGACTCCCAGGAGAGAAAACTCAAATACAGAACAATGAAATACAATCGCATATTGTCATCGAACTCTCTCACCTTACCCACTCACCTTGGTTGATCATCAAAGAGAGTGTCCAAATTTTGAGAATAGGAACAACTCACAAGACAGTTTTCTCGAATCATTCGATACTTGGATTTGTGATCTTTTGACTTCTTTTTTCAAATAAATGGAATATAAATCAATATTAGGGACTTAGGGATAAAGCGATTTTAATGAAATATGAAAGTAGCGTCAACAGAATTTTAAAGATGAAAGACAGTGATGTGTGACGATGGATCTGCGATTTTTACCAGATGGAATATTTAACCCCGTTAAGTTTACTATTTATGTGAACTAGTTTACCCGTTTGGATTATTTTTGTTAATATCTTCACTTGGGATTATTATCGTAGAAAAGTTGAAAGTAAGGATTATTAGTATGAATTTCACCTTATTCAAATGATTTGGTGTATACTACAATTATAAACTCAAAGGAAATGAGCAAGTTATAAAAAACTCAAAGTAATGAAACGATTAAGAAATAAATTTTGTAACTTAAAAAACCCAAAGTAATGAAACAATTAAGAAATAAAATCATAAAAGCAACTTAGATTGAGACCTTTGTTGACCGTTGACCACTTGATTGACTTTAACTTCAACATTTCTTATTATGATTATTACATAATTTAAATCGTGAAATTAAAATTTACGTGTTTGATGAAAAAATTGAATGATAAGGCCAATAAGCCGAAAAACATGATCACCACTCATCAAATGTGCTCTTACACCGTTGCTAAGTCTGCTGCTGAGTGCTGGCTAATTGCAACAGTTTTTATTTTTGGTTTTTATAATGGAAAATTCTATGGTGCCTTAGTTAATTTAGAATGCACCGGTACACAACTTGTGTAAGGTAATCAAACTATACCACATCACCATTTGGAAGAGTGGAGGTTGGAGAGGAGGTAGAAAATTTACAAGTGCCATTTTTTTAGTGGAGTACATTTCAAAGGCTTTAGAGCCATGGATGGAGAATTTGGTACACTCGGTGGTTTGACTTACAAAATACACAAATATTATCTTAGCCATTTGAAATATAAAAAAGTAAATTAATTTTCTCTCTAAAATATGACTAACCATTTATATAATTAATTCAATTCTTTTCATAATAATTTATATCTAATCTCGTTCCAATCCCGCCAACGGCCGGAATCCGCCATCAGAAAATTTTGAAGGATCTTTTTCGTTTTTTAGTTTTTTAAAACTTCACAGAAAAAGTCATCACAAATTTCTCAGTGCAATGACATGTTTCACGTACCATATTTTTTGGGTGACAAGTAATTGGAATGAATGAAGTCAAAATACACTAAAAAAACATCACTTGTACAATCAATGCTTTTGGCAATTTTGATGGGCTAGGTAACAAAGAACCACATTACTTAACTCATGGTGGGTGGGGGTTGCTTATGATTAGAGTAGAGCTAAGTGCTTGCACATGTATCTTAAATCTACCCAAATTACGTTGAATTTGTTTTGTACTACGACACCAATTTTCACCTTTCATTTACCAAAATATATGTAACATTAATCATGTAATACTTCCTCCGTTCCTTTTTAATTTCAACGGTCAACATTTCACGTTTGACAACGCACAAGTTTGACTATTAATATCTTTCATTCCTAATTAGTAAAAAAATTAAAAAAATCAAATTTTGAAAATTTAGAATGAGAAGAATTTAACAATATTTTTTAAAAATTTAATTTATAATACATTAATTAATAAAATATAGTCAATGTAAAATATGTGAATAGTGCAAAAAGTCCAATGTTGCAATTAAAAGAGAACAAAGTAATGTTATACTTTGATTGAGTTGAACAAAGTTATCACAGAAGCCCGTTTTACATATTTTAATATATATTTATCTTAATTTTATTACTCCGTAATAAAATATACTACGTACTATCGTATTATTTTATACACATTTTTTCCTTAAATTAGCAGATTCAAATAATTGAGTACTAAAACAAAAAAATTCATTGAGTAGATTCAATCAGTTTTAGCGTTATGAGTCTTAGCTTTAGTTTGTTTCGTTTTCATTTTGTTATTTGATCACATAAATTAAAGTCCAATCGCCATTAACGTTCTCTCGATCATGCAGGCATCAATCCACGATGGCGATTTATTATTAATATTATTATCATTAACTTTATTCCTAGCAAGGTAGTTAGATTTTAATTTCCTCGATCATAGATCTATCTATCTACCTCTGTACGTACGTATGTTATCGTTTTTAAGGCCGGCCGGGAAGCAGAAATGTCGTCGGCATCTTCTCGTTCATGGTTTTCGTTTCTTGATTCCAGCAATTCTCTTCTCGCCAGCCTCAGCAAGCTCCTGTTAATCTCCGGCGTCGTTGTCTACTTGGGAATCATCTTCCTCCCCAACATCCCGTCATGCCCATCCTCGCCGGAGATAATGCTGTCATCGTCAAGATTGGCGATGCCGGCGGCGACGGGGGACAATAATCCATCATCTTCAGGCATTATCCCATCACCGCCACCGGCGGATTCTCCTCCTCCTCCGCCGACTCTGTCAGCAGAGTCGGCGGAGGAGAGTAGGACGAACCTGAGCCACCTGATATTCGGGCTGGTGGGTTCGGAGAACGCGTGGCACCACCGCAAGGCATACATAGAGACGTGGTGGCGGCCGAACGTGACGCGGGGGTTCATATACCTGGACACGGAGCCGACGGAGGAGCTGCTGCCGTGGTCGCCGTGGTCGCCGCCGTACCGGGTGTCGGACAACATAACGAGGGTGGTGGCGGAGACGGGGCACGTGGACGCGACGGTGGCGCGGCTGGTGCACGGGATAATGGAGGTGTTCCGGGACTGCGACGGCGACGACGGGGCGGAGGAGCTGCGGTGGGTGGTGATGGGGGACGACGATTCGATATTCATGCTGGACAACATGGTGGAGCTGCTGGCCAAGTATGACCACAGAAAGTACTATTATTTCGGAGGGCATTCGGAGTTCATTTTGTCAAACTTCTGGTACTCGTTCAACCAAGGGTTCGGTGGGGCCGGCTTCTTCCTCAGCTACCCTTTAGCCAAGGCCCTGGCCCACTCCATGGACTCCTGTCTCAAGCGTTACAACCAATTGAGGGCTGCCGACTCCACCACCATGGCTTGCATTGCCGACCTCGGAATCAATCTCACCCCTGTTCCTGGCATTCATCAGGTATATATCAATTTTACAAACACATGCATACATTTACTCCTTAATTCCTATAAATGCACATTTAGACTATATTTAGAAAGCGGGTGGTCATAGATAGGAGTGTCGCAAGAGGTAAATCACGAGTTAAAATACATGCAACTACGATGAAACGTTACTATGTAATAACGTATAGGTCTTCTGCAAGTACTATATCTCGATGCTTGAGCCTCACTCACGATCTGTCAATTTAAGTACAATTTACGTTTATGTTTGGCAGACATAAGTCTCTACCTTCTAGTTTTTGTACTGTTCAAAAAGTCTCTAAAAGCTTCTAGTTATATGTTTGACATGACAATTTTTAAGAACTTTTCAAAAATTAAAAGATCTTTTTTGAGATGCTACAAGGAGTAGCATCTGAAAAAAGTCCGTGATTTTTAGTATTAATTAGTCCTAACAACTTGTATACCAAACAAAACTAAATCAAACGGTCAGCTTTTAATCAAACGGCTATCATCCTTTCTCTTTAAGATCTTTTCAATCACTAAAAGCTAACAGTTATTAAAAAACTCACAAAAGTATCTTTTCAACTAGTTTCCCTAAACATACCCTACATCATCCCGAGGTTGTGGGTGATGGTGTGTCCTCCCTTTTAGACTATATTTAGAATACGAGCTCTAACTAGAGTCTATTATAGTGATTGGAAAGCTACTCCATAGTATGTAGAGTTTGATAGAAGTCATTCAAAGTGAAACGGTGGCTAATGAATTAGACTAGTTTGGCTATACATATGGCTGAAATAACGACTAAAATGCAAAGTTATCATAAGTTGAATATAAACAAGATAAAACATACTAGTATATAATGGGGTTAAGTTCACATAATTTTTCGGTAGATTATAGGATTGATTGAGCTAAAACACTACAATTAGTACCGTTTGAAATCAGCTGATTAATTTTGGATCTAGTAAAGTCAAGTTCTTTATCGTTAGAAGTAATCATCAAAAATAGCATTAAGATGATCGTCTCTATGACTCTATATACTCCCTCCATCCCGTTGGAATGTTCCCGCTTTCCTTTTTTGGATGTCTCGTTGGAAAGTTCCCATTTCCCTAAATGGAAAGTTATCCTACATCAAAACAGGGTCAAACAGTGGAAAACAATGTCAAACAGTGTCGAAACAGTGCCAAACAGTGTCAAAACAGTAAAATTTACCCCCTGGTAAGTTTATTTCCTTAATATGTGTGTAGGTCAAACCGGGAACATTCCAACAGGACGGAGGGAGTATATGAAATAGAGACGACGATCACCCGATAAAAGCAACTCAAATCACTTACGTAGTACTAATTAAACGTATTATTTTACTTTTAAACCTAAAGAATTTCTTGACATGGGAAGTCATTCCACTTTACTTCTAACTCTTTCACCATCCTGCCACTTGAACTACCGTTGTCTAGGTATTTCAGGCAGGCTAGCTCGACATACCCTGTGTTCCTGCGCAGGGGCGTAGCTAGGGAGGAGCCAATTTAGGCCCTGACCCGCCCCAAATTAAAAAAATGCTTATATTTTTAGTATATAAAAGTCTGTATTTTTTCTCCCCAAAATTACTCTTTGTACGGGTCTAGTCCGGTCCAATGCCTCGACTCCGCGCCCCTGTCAGTGCGGCTTCGCCTATGTGTTTTGGAACTTTCGATTCAATGTCAAGTTTCATGTTGCTCTCTAGCTACATTCTACGTATCTAATATCACGTCTTCCTTTTCAAGATCCAGTCGTCCATAGTAGGCCCCATCCCTTCAACCCATTTTGTATACTCCCATTGAAGTAACATGGGGGCACCGCCCAAACACTTTCTCACCCTAACTCTCACAAAGGAGGGTATAGCTTAGTCCGTGGGGTGAATATTTTCCCAAATTTAAGCTTGAGTGTCCTACATATGCCATTATGTTTCAATTTGTAAAAGTACATTAAGTTTGACACCTAATGGCGTGTGAGACTTTCCTTCACATATGGTGTTTCTTTCGTGAATACTATCGTGTCGTCATTGTCATTTTTTTATCGTGTCGTCATTTTTCATAGGGGCCCACATTATGGGTATAGATCGATTTGACTCTGATAACATGTTAAAATCCGAGATTTCATTCTAAAAAGTTAACTCGATAGGAGGAGTAGCTCAGATTTTAATATAGTGTTTAATTCTTTCAGAAATATTCAATGGGACTTTTTCATTCCATCATATAGCATCCATTGACATACAACTTAACTTTGTCTCTTGTAAAAGTCTAATAGATACACTCATTGACATGAGGGCACCTTCAAAGTGAGAAAGAAGAAATTTAACCATAAACCAATACTGTTATTGCTATGTATGTTAGTGTGTCTCTTCTTTTCAATAAGAAAATTCAACTTGTGAAATTTTTCCTATTTGTAAATTAAAATAAGAATGGGTCTTAATAACATTTACTATCTATGTCCCATACTGATTGTCTTCTTTTAATTTGGCACTACTATTAATAAAGTGATTGAAAAATAAAAGTTGTAGTTGAGATTTGAGTAGAATAAAGTGATACTACCTCTGTTCCCTTGTTATTGTTGCGTTGCGATTTACGATGTTTGACTGACGGTAAAGCAAACAGATCCCTATCCGCACTAGAATTATTTTTAGAAAAAAAAAATCGCATATCCATAAACTACATAAAAAATCGATTTCCACACAGATAAAAATAAAAAATTGGCTGTATCACATACATTTTAAAATCCTCATTTAAAATTCTCTGTACCACAGACATTTTATGAAAAATCTCGTCTAAAATGTCGGTGATGCAGACAACTTTTTATTTTCGTCTGTGTGAAAATCTGTTTTCTTCATTAAACGCCGATCAAATTGTTTGTACACAGACAATTTAACCGGCGTGTAACCCGTGGCTAAAAAGTGACGTGTACAAAGGCAATTTTCCAAATTAATTAGGCAAAGGAAGTACTACGTATATATCGATGTACCCTTGCTAAAACATGATCTTGTCTAGCTCTTCATGGTTAGCAAATTCAAACTAACTACACCAATAAAACGCTACAAGTCAACTTCAACATTACTAATAATGTCAAAATAAGTAGACTCATAATTAAATTGCCGGCCAAATATGAATGTCATGTATTAAATGCATCCACTATAGATTAATTACTATCGATGCACAATTTTAGGAGATTTTCTTTGAATTCCTGACTTTTTTTTCAATTTGAATCTCATCCAATATACTTTTATTCCTCCGTTCCAATAATTTACTCCCTCCGGTCCCAAATGAAATTCACACTTTCCTTTTTGGGTAGGTCCAAAATAAACTTCACACTTCTTCTCCCTTTTTTACTTGACAAATTATCTACATCAAAACAGTGTAAAACAGTGTCAAACAGTGTCACAACAGTGTACTCTACAGTAAAATCAAATTTATTTCCTTAATTGGTGTGAAGTCAAAGTGTGAATTTCATTTGGGACCGGAGAGAGTAAATAAATAAAAATCAAATAGTCTAATAGTCTTTTGTCCCCCGAAATCCCCATTCTATATTTACATTAACTGAAGAAATATACAAGAAAAATGGACTGGGGCTTAAATCTGATACAAAAAAGTTAAAAAATGGGGTACATGCATGGAGTAAAAAAAACTTACAATAAGGGAAATTTAAAATTGTCTGCAAGTAGAATTACGAGATTGTCTTGGTCATATTTACAATTACGAAAAGATCCTTTCAGTTTTTAATACTCCGTAGAAATTAGGAGTGACAATAGAGTTAAGAATTGAATGAGGAACCCGCACGAGTAGCTCAGTTGGTCGAGTGGTGTGAAAAATTGGACGTAGACCAATGTTCGAATCCCGCAACGGCCAAAAGGAGGTTTTCAGAACCTGAAATAAGGCTGGTTCTCTGGTGCGCACGGGTAAAGGCCTACTGCCGCTTTGCTGACTGAGTCACCGTGATTTACTCTCCCACCATCCTGTCGGATCGGGATGGAGGGCCCTTGGGGTCCAGGATTCAATCTTTTGCACGAAGAATTGTATGAGGAAAATATCTCTTCCCTACCGACACTTGGGTGCCAGCGTTGAAAGTGATGCCTAGCCTCGTCCAATTGTGCCGCACCATCACTCTTTACTATTGTGTCCAGCTTTGTCTGATATATATACCCAGCATATAATGCACCCCAACCGCATAGTTATGGCTATTAGGATGTACACATTTTACGTAGTTTTATGGCTATATTAGATGAAGTTACTTTAGAAGACCATTTTAGTTATTTTTCATATATATATATATATATATGTATGTATGTATATGTATATATCTTTTATTAATTACTCCCCCCGTCTCAAAATTATTGTCCCACTTTCCTTTTCGGTCCGTCCCGAAATAATTGTCTCGTTTCTAAAACTTCCTTATTTGGTAAATAAATCTATACCAAACAGTGTCAAACAGTGCAAAACAGTGTCGTTACAGTGCCAAACAGTGTCGCTACAGTGTCATTTTCTTAATCTGTGTGAAAAATCAAACGGGACAATAAGTTTGGGACGGAGGGAGCAGATACATTTTACGAACAATTAGTCAATTCAGACCCTTCAACCAGAACTTCACAAATTTCAGCAGAATCGGCGAATTCAACCGATTCTGGTATGTCAAACGGCTCCGAGACATTTCCTTTTTTTGACGGACACCAAACTAATCTCAAACGGGATACACATTTTATATACGTAGTATATTGGTTATTGCAAAGTGAACGTCTCACATTTTCATCAATTTACTCCCTCCGTTTCATCGGACTTTGTCAACTTTTCCTTTTTAGTTGTCCCAAAAAACTTTGTCATTTTTCTATTAAAGTAACTATTTTGTGGTTCTACTTATTTTTCTGGTCCCAAAAAACTTCAATCACACAATTTTTACTATTCTTATTTCTCATCTAATTCAAAGAATACAAAGTCCATTGGGACTGAGGTAGTATTTTATTATTAACATTATTACTTCTAATATACTCTCCCGATTTAGAAAGAAGTTGCTAATTTGACTATATGAAATTTACTCAATGAATTTAGATACTCCCTCCACTCTTATTAAAGTTCTCACTTTCCTTTTTGGGATGTCCCTTATTTAAGTTCACACTTCCATTTTAGGAAACAAAACAATGCAAAACAGTGCCAAACAGTGTCCAAACAGTGCCAAATAGTGCCAAAAAGTGCACTCCACAGTAAAGTCAAATTCATTTTCTTAATATATGTGAAGTCAAACCGGGAACTTTAATAAGAACCGGAGGAAGTAGTTGGTTTTAGTTGTGTATTCTGGCACAATACAACAGGCCGACAGGGTACTTTACCTTTTAAAAAGAGAAGAGAAACACACACAGTTAAAAGGGCCCAATTGCTTTAATTTAACGGCTTGAATAATGTATTTGTAATGTCTTTCCATTGGAGGGCCTGAATACAACTGAAACTTAGTGAAAATGTGAAATGTGAAATAGGATTGAATCTTGATGAATAAATGACTCAAACGGAACTAAATCTTAGTGAAAATGTAAGATAGTGCCATGAAATTCTCGTATGATCAGGTTGCAATAAAAGTGAGAGTGAAATCCCATGACTACTAATAAAAGGGGGAAACCTGTATAAAATTAAAACTAATAACAATTCTCAAAATATGACCAAAATTAATTATTTCTTAGTGTAAGAAAAAATGGCAGATGGTAAACATACATGACGTATGCCGTTATGTTAGGGGATATATGAGTCATATTTTAAGAAACACATAACTTTATCAATATAAGAAAGAGATTAAAACGACGATATGAGGAACCTTAAAATGTCACTTTAGAAATGTAACTTTATGGCATTGTGTCATTTTGGCTATTCTTTAATCTTTCATAGTGCAATTTTTTCACATTATACTCATATCAGACTATATGATATTCCTTTGTCCTTTATAATCTTCACCTTTCTTTTTTTACCGTCTCAAATACTTTATCACTTTCTATTTTAATCAATTAATTTATAATTTTTATTATTTGTAAGATATTATTAGTCAAGTATTGACTGATATTCACAGAATTTGACGAGGGTTGACTGATATGTGCAGATGGACATGAGAGGAGACGCGTCGGGGTTCCTCTCCTCCCACCCCAACTCCCCACTCATATCCCTCCACCACTTCGACATGGTGGAGCCCCTCTTCCCCTTGATGGACCGCTTCCAGTCCGCGGCCCACCTCATGACCGCCGCCAGTTTCGACCAGACTCGAATCCTGCAGCAGACCATTTGCCACCACCGCCCTACCAACTGGACATTCTCCGTCTCATGGGGCTACTCCGCCCACATCTACGAACGAATCATGCCGCGCAGCCACCTTCAGAACCCCATCGCCACGTTCAAGGAGTGGGCCTTCGCCAACCCCCGGCCACCGCATTGGATGTTCGACGTCCGGGCACCGGTCAACCACCCATGTGAAACGCCACATGTCTTCTTCTTGGAGTCTTCGAAGAGGACGCCCGACGAGGAGGAGATTGTGAGCACCTACAAGCGTCAGTGGCGACGAAAATTGCCCGCTTGTTTATTTACCGGGAACCACTCTGCTGATTACGTTTTCAGGGTCCGTGTATATACCCCCTCTGCCAAACGGACGCAGGTTTGTAACTTTCCTTCCCTCTTCGTATACATGGTTCCTCGAGTATATAGAAATTTCATTTTTTAAAACTGTTTCTGCTCTTTCACGGAGTAGAAGCAGATACGAGAGTGATTGGATGAAAGTGTAGAAGTGCTTTTGAGTGCTCAAAATCGAATCTAAAAGCAGTTTTTTTAGAAGCTGAGGGAGATCAGCTTCCGAAAATCTAATTCTGATTCTTCTTTTGCTTTAGAAAGAAGTAGAAGCATAACCAATTCCAAACACTCCATGCGTGGTAAAAAATTATCACTACCTATGTCGCATTCAAAGGTTCTCATCCACTATTCTTCGGTTAACGTAAAACTTTCTTAATCTTTACTTTATACGGAGTATATGTAACTTTAGAAACTGTCCTGAATAGGAGTAAAAATGTTTTTAAATTACAAAGTAGAACCTTCATGTTTCTATTCTCTAAATAGGAGTAATTTTTGTCAAGTTTCAAAAAAACTTGGCAGAAACTGCTATGTTTAAAGTTTGATAATACCAAACTTGACAGAAATTACTCCTATTTTGGGAATAAAAACATGCCAGTCACACTTTGTAATTTCAAATTTTTACTCCTATTTAGAGAATTTTCCAATCTATTTTTTATCAAATTTGAGTTTTTCTTATGCGATTTTAGAAAACTTTTAATGTAATTTCTGAATATGTAAATTTTATTTACTAAAAAAATAATTACAGACATGAATCAATTAACTTTATGATCAATCAAACATCATAAATCGCGTGGAAAGCTTTCTACCGGACAGATCAAGTAATTTTGATAAGCTCAACTGCTCAAATTGCTAGAAAGAATTCGGTTGTTTCTTTTAAATATAAGTGCATCTTTTCTAATATAATCATGTGTTACTTATTATTTTTCAGACGGATAATAGATGTGAATGTTGTGACGTCACCCGAGTGACTGAAAGCAGCATTGCAGAAGTAAAGATTAGAAGTTGCATGAAGAATGAGGTAATTGCTTAGACAGTTAGACAGTTAATGTGGAGAAACATCTTTTTTGTCTCTCTATTTGACGAAATAAAAAGCGTTGTACTTTTTTGCTGTTGATATATGAAATTATACGTTAGCGACATGAACAAGCATCAATCCTTTTGTAACTCAGTTTCCTCAGACCCTTTGAAGACTTCATTGTATGGTACATAGTCAAGAGCCTATGGATACAAATAGTGAATGTACACTGATCTTAGAAACTATTTGAGATTACATTTTGATTTACTCTTCTAACATTCTATCGGACCGAGTTGAGGAGCACTTCGAATGAGCGATTTCATCTTTTGAGTCGAGTGATTGCTGCATGCTAGAAGCCGACAATGGAAAAGACAGACTAGTTTAAAACATGAACTCACACACTATCCGAGATAATACCATGATTTACTCTTTCATCATTCTGTCGAGTCAAAGTGTGGGACTGTGGGACACCTAATGTTAGCTCAAATGCATTAGACCTGATCCAAAATAAAAACAGTAACCAGTTTTCTTTTCTTTTTGAACTTTCTAGAAACTTTCTCGAAAAGCAATCAAGTTTACTAAAACGTTATCTTTTGATTCTTGATAATTAACCTATCATTCAAGTCCTTAAATTACTGAGTTCCTTTTTTGTAATAAGGTGATGGAAAAAAGGGCAAGGGTACCAGTAAACCTGTATAATTAAGATAGCAAGAAAGTAAAAATAGGCTTCCAACCAAAAATACTTGTCAGAAAAAAAGGATGTTATTTTCAATTCAGCACACTAGAATAAAATAGAAAGATGTAGCTTTCATTTTGAGACGTGGAGAGTAATTACTGTTATATTGTACGTTGTAATTCTAAAGAAAACGGACAAATGAAATAAGTATTTGAAGTAATTGCATTCACAAGAGACATGACTTGAAGTCTCTCTACATGCTTTATATATGAAGTGTTTTCCGGCGGAATTCAAATATATGCCAACAAGACGGCTAGCATCACAAATAAGGTCTGATATATTACTCAAGAAATATATATATCACAAAAGGCTCAAAATGTAGCTGTAAAAGAATATCCCAATTGACCGGAAAAAACAGAAAGCCAAACAATATTCCATTGGTGGCAATATGTAATGTCAACTAATCAAATGGGGCGGTCAGCCGAAGAACTTAATCGTTGTGCACCTTATTCGTCTCAGCTTCTTCTGCCTTTTGAATTCCGACAAAACGTGCATAATCAACCCACCTGAAAATCACTTGTATTACAGGTATGCATGTGCATAGAGTTATGGACTTAAGTACTTATGTACATAGGCATGTATGCGTGTGCATAGAATTATGTACGTAGGCATGTATGCGTGTGTATAGAATTATATGTTGCACAACACCTCACCTGGTTGCCCTGCTTCATAATCCTCGGACTAATATTTCATAACAGGTATATAAAATAAGTATCATAATCACAAATGCACAAATACAAATAGAATAATTATCAATGTTACCAAACTTAGTAGATTCATAGTAAAAAAGTTTATTTCATCACATGACCCATAGCTTGTTTTTTAAACAACCAAATGCATCTAATTTTTTATATAGTTGTAACAATATGAAGCAGCAGTCAATCCATGCAATGTTTGACGCAATTTTCACTATGAGTCATCCGGAAACAATCTCTTTGTGCTTTAGTACAAAGGTTGCGTACATCAGACCCCCCCTTACCCCACCGAAGGTGGGGAGCCTTTGCGGCACTGGGGTGATGATGAGGAGGAGTTGTTGTTACAATATGACACTCCCTTTGTTTAAAGTCGGGTTAATGGTTAAGAAACTCATGAAGCATCTTAAAACACTACAACAGGAAAAAGGTGGATTCTATGATACCCATAAGGTACCATACCTTTGTCCACATGGACCAATGAGAATGTACCAATTGAATTATTTAAATCTAAATTAAAAATGATAAAGTGATGTGATTCAATCAAATTAATGATAGGTACAGTACCCCATTTTTTAGAAAGGTACCGGAGTTGTCACCCAGGAAAAAAAGTATTGATATGCCTAAACAACTCTTTATATCTTAAAAATCAAACTTCTCCGCAATGTTAGGGATTTCTTTATTTGAGAGCATTTAATCAGTATTAAATTCTCTCTTGATTTCATTAGGGCTGCAGATTATGAAAAAAAAACCAATAAGAACTTCATATGAATTGCGAAATGGGGGGTAAGGTAAGCAAGTGACAGATCTTACAATAATGAACCCAAGTATGTGTTGCCTGTCCGGACAGCAAAGCAAAGGGCGCTTAGGACTAATTTATGTTGGTGTAGCAAAGGCTCTAAAATACGCTGTTCAACTACACCAGCCAGCACTTGGTACCTGTTGATTACTTGATGGTGAGTTTTTGTTTAGGATTTCAAAACCAAGAGTTAAAAAGTGTGCAGGCCAGACTACAAATACAAAATGGAATATAAAGCAATCAATAACAGCTGAGTTCAAATAGGCAAGGCTTGAGCATCATAGGTTATGTTAGTTAGCGCAGGCACAAACTCAGTGGGAATAGTATAGGTGAGATGATGCTTATGGGGAAAATTTACGCTATTCTCCATACAAGTGAGATAAACCTATGATGATGGCCTGTTAGATGGGAAGGTCTAAACAACCTCAAACAGGCTACCCAAACCATGAGTGAGGTTTACCTCACTGTGTGAGAGCTTATCAACTTGAGAGTTAACACACCCCTTCCATCCGGTCCCCAGTTAGCAACTTGAGGGGTGAAGAACGGGACAAATTGACCCCAAGCAGGCTACCCGAACCATGAGTGAGGTTTACCTTATACAGAGTATATTATATACTCCCTCCGTCCCATTTTACCTGTCTTACTTTCTTTTTTGGGATGTCCCAAAATAAGTGTCATGTTTCCTATTTTGGAAAGATGTATGTGATCCACATCATTTCACTTTAGTATACTCAAACCACAACCATAACTTTTACTTTTCAACCACTTTATTAATATTTGTGCCAAACCAAAACAAGACATAAACTGGGACGGAGGTAGTAAGAATCTAGTAAATATCCAATTTGGAATACTTATCAAAGTTAACTGCTCTACCAGTAAGAAAAGAGAGAGAGAGATGAACCCAGTTCCCACATACCGAAGGTTGCTAGATACTGCCATATAGACACCATAGGCAACACTGGTTGCCAGTACAGGTACATTCTCAACCTCCTCTGCGGAGGTCTTGTCAACAGCCTTCCGTGTATTTATCAGTGCATTTGTGGCAACAGTGCCAACCTGAACGTAATAGACCATTCAACTTCATTATCAAACTTTACTGTCCTTTAATCGTTGAACAAAAGTACGCAGGAGATATATGAAATTTTCTACCCTTCAAAAGAAGTGATGAATGCACACTGTATCAGGGAATTAGTTGAAACCAATAAACCATGACCAAATAGACTCGGTTAATAGCTAGGAGTAATACAAAACGTACAAGTAGTATTTATAATAATGACATTAAACAAATATTCAATAAATAACAAAGAAGGATATGCCATATTGTTCAGTGCATTTATTGGTAGTGGAGTAGCGTAGATACACATGTAAATTGTAATAACTAGATGCCTCTTGATCATGAAATGGAAGAAGGTATAGACAAGTCCTTATGAGGGCAATTACAATAATCAAATGCTCATTTCATACCAAAAGAATCCTTAAGGGTCTTTTTGGAACCGGGAAAAAGATAGGTAAAGTAGAATAAGGAAAATAAATGAGAATTTTTTACTACAAAACGTTTGAGGAAAATTAAAAAAATCTTATCCAATAATTTTAGATTTACGTTTGGACTCATCATATTTAGAGATTTGAGATTTGTATACATAAACCCTACAAAATCAGAACACATGTATAATTTTAAAAGAGCTAATCAAATTTGAGTTTCCTTCACGTTTGAAGGTGAAACCAAATATAAAAACAGTTCTCCTTAACTCGCTCGCAGTGGCGGAACCAGAAGATTTTTTGAGGGGGTGCTGAAAATTATATGAAACCATAACTATTAAACTTGATAATAAATTTAATATATTAGATATTGGCTAAATTGAAAGTGATAAATTAGTATTTACATCTAAATACCAAAATAATTAGTAAAAAATGCAGATAATATGTCCTGCAAATTTGCACTAGCTAAAATTCTTGCAAAATTGCTTCAGCGTGTGAATGGTTTCTTTATAGCCTCACTTTATGTGTAATCACTAACAAATAGATGTATAAAACTACATTATAAGATTTATAGCACAGTTGCATTAATCATAATTCATCAACGGTTAACGTAACGAGCACTCAGCACAGAGGCGACGAGTCATTATTGATATTTTGAATTATTCAATTACTAATTCAATTACTCATATGTACTCCGTGTCATTTGTGTTTAGGATGTGGTTTATTACATCTTGGTGTCGTTTCATTTTAATGTTTTTCCCTTTATACTTACAGAAAATGACAACCGTTCATTGGTTTCGTTCAGCAGAGCAACCCTACTGCTACGCCGGCGATTAAAAAACGAGCTAAGCTGCAGGGGCGCCGCCCTAAGCAACACATATATATACATCAAGTACTCCGGCGAAGGGGGAGCGCCGGCACCGGCTCGCCCCCCTGGTTCCGCCGCTGATCGCTCGGTCGCCCCCCCTTCACCTAGTATTTTCTGGGATCCAAACATAATATGTCCACACCCCAGTCCTACTTAGAACTGACTACAAAAAATTATCTGGAGCCTTTTCTAATGTTTTGTCTTGGATACTAACTATCCCATCAACAACTCAACAAGTTTATCACTCCCATATCTTTATTGATGTCAATAAAATAACTAAACACTACAAGCTAATTGAAGCTAGCAGTGAAACAATCAACATTCCTTAAGATGTGAGCTACTGGATTTCGGTGGTAAATATTTATTGGCATTAGCTATTGTACAGGATGCACAGGGTGAAGTTCATAGGCAAAACCTATGTTTAATGGAGAGCCTGATTAGAATAAAAATGAGCATTATAAATACCAGAGAAGAAGTTGTGCCGACTGCAAAGAGCTTGGCCCCATTCCGCTGAAAAAATAATCAAGAAATTATCATATTATTATATCAGAACAGTCATACTGTTACATGTTATCATGGTATTTAAGTCAACAATTTAGTACATATACTACATATTACTTACCACTATTGCACCTAATCTTTGCAAGAATGAAAATGATGTTCCAGGCAGGCCAACCTACAAAATATGGATGAAGAGACAAAACCCTTATTCTTTGACCATATCCAACATCAGAGGATAGATTCAATCAATTATCTTAACACATGCTTGTACCTGATGTCTTAAATAAGTGAACATGATATTACCAAGAAAACAAATTTTATGAACAGCACCCAACTTCTTAATAGTGGTGGGATCGTGAATCGTGATACGTAAATCAATTGAGATACACACTAAAAGTACAACCAACAGTCATAGAACACATACTGAATTCTCCATTTTCTAACTGCTTCACAAATTATGTCACAAAACCAAAAAGAAAAAGTGTTTTAGCACATATGTCTAATCTGGGAACACTTAATGCATGTGCTAAGGTTGTTATTGCTATGTTAATTTGGTTCCCTAGTCTTTGACCATAAAGAACAGTGCTTTAATATTGAATTTGGGATTTATACCATTTCCTGTTAAACCTTAACACAAATAGGGAAATATAGTGGACCTGGAATGCATTATCTGGACAATTGTAGAAGAACTTGGAAAGTCTTCCAACATTAACACCCACAGGCGGCCGGAGTGAAACTGTAGGGGCAGGAAGGTAGACGAGCATGAAGTCTGCAATTATGGCCATTACCTACAGAAAACCATATTATATAAAATCAGTGTGAGTTTTCTACAGAAATAAAATGGCCACCATTCCCTCATAAGAGAGTAGCTATAAATAAATGTTTCCTCACAAGTAATGTACCTAAATGAGTCATGACCACAACTTAAAGTTCAAAAATTAGAAAAACAGGCATAGGGAAGTTTTAAAGAGAAAAGGCTATTTTTTCTTCTTTTACTTTTAGTTCTAATTTAGTAACTCCTGTTTTGGAAACATCAAAATAAAAATGTGATAATTGTTGCTTACCACATCTGCAAACACAATTTCCAGCTCGTTAAAGAAGTTTTCTTTGCGCTTCTCATATTCAGCAGCAGTCTGCAAATAGAAATCAGAGTCATAGAATCAAGAAACAAGAATAACTAAAAAGCATGTAAAACAAGTACCTTTGAGAGGCGAAGTTAGTATTAGTAGAAATCAAAAGACCCAAAACCAATTTACAAGTTCTTGAATGGAATACCTTGGTGAAGATCCCAACGCCGCATTCCATGGCGACTTTAGCAAGAAAAAGATCGTCGGCCAGGAGTCGCTCCCTAAACCCACCGAACCGGAGCAGCCACGCCAGAAACCCAGATTTCTCCAGCTCCAAATACTTGAGCACTACGGATCGGGGAATTCTCCCGTCCTGAATCGCTGCCTTCAAATCACTCGGCAAGCTCTCCAGAGACCTCTGGGCCTCCGCCAAAGCCATCAGCGCCTCCTTCTTATTGTTGTTGTTCTTGTCCCCATCCTCGTTTTCGTCATCATCACCGCCGCCGCCACTGTGAAAATTTCCGCCACCAGCGCCGCCATCTCCGCCTACAGAAGAAGGTAGTAAAAACCCGCGGCGGTTAGAATTTGGAGAGAGCAAGAAAGAAATTGGGCGTGCGGCGGATGTAGAGGCAGGGGAGGAAGTGGAGTAGCGGAGATTAATGGGACTAGCGAGTTTGGAGAATGTACGAGTTGAGGGGCAGCGGGGCGGCGGGTTGAAGGTGGTGTTGGCGAAGTAGGCGGCGGCGATCGCCATTGGGGGTTGTTAACGGTGGCCGTTGAAGTAAACGGTTGGTTGGTGGGTAGGTTAAGACAGACGCGGGATCGGCTGTCTTCGTGATTTGGCTCTTCTTCCATAACTTAGGTTTAATAATAGGGACGACCAGAAGAGGTTTGATTCCCACGTGCCACTTCAGTTTCGATGGTTCCAACATAAGATGGAAGTGTCATCACATCGTACGACGTCTCCCTCTTGTTTAGATTTTTTCATCTTTGTCCAAACGGTAGAATCTCCCACTCCAGAACCCCCATATCCCGACCCGATAGAATTTTTGGGAGGACGTTAATCACGGTGACTCAGTCGGTCCAGTGATGGTAGGTCTTTTTTCCGTGCGCACCAGAGGCCCAACCTTATTTAAGGTTCTCTGACCTCCACACGACCGCTGCGGGGTTCGAACATTGGTCACTTGATCCAAATTTCCCACCACTGAACCAACTGAGCTACCCGTGCGGGTAGATTATATCACTCTGCTAAAATTTACCAAGTTTTTAGTGAAGTAACCGGGTTCACCGATTCTGCTGATTTATGTAAAAATTATAATTGTAATATACGTTATATTTTGTTAATAAAATAAAGAAAAAATTATATGAACAATAGTTAAAATTACTCACTATAGTAATTTGAGTCAATACAGTAAAAAATGTAACTTCAATCTTCCTTTTTCTTATTACTACACACAATCAACGTGTGAAATAAAAAATTACGTATTTGGTGAAAAAATTGATTGTTAAGTCTGATAAGATGAAAAGCATGCTTACGAGACGGACTCTAAACTTGGAATTTTTACCCTATAAAAGAATTACTCCTATAAGTTTTTATAGATTTGTCAAATTTGATGAAATAATAAAGTAAAAATCGTACTGAGTATGTAACAACTGATGTATGTAAAAAGTAAAGTAATAACTAATAACCAGAATTATAAAGTAACTGCTTAAATAAAAGGTGACATTTTTTTAAGATCTCTAAAATGAGATATGACAAAGTTAAAAAATGGAGGAAGAGCGGAAATGTGATAGGTAGTAGAATCAATATGTGGGTAATCTATTACCCCATTTCACCTCGTACACAAGAATATCGAAAACAATAACAGGGAAAATTGAAAAAAGACCCCCACTGTGGAAGAATACAGAAAAGGTAGAGGAGAAACGGGAAAAAGGCCCAATGGGGCGTAAAGTTAAAGGTGGGGGACAGGGTCGAATGAATATACGTAGTATTTTTTAAAGCGTTCTTAGTATAACTTTTTTATACAGAATGTAACTTCATTTCGCAAAAAAAAAAATATTCTTTTTGTGTCTCAAAGTTCTTCTCATTTATCATTTTGAAAAATTTTATGTGACTAACATTTATTTACTTTTTTCTTAATCAATCATAATAATGTATTTCTACTTTATTATCACTTTCTTATCAAAGTCGAACATGGAAGAATTTTCTGGGACATAGGATGTATCAAAATTAAGACTGATGGATAGTGTACTCGGAGGTAGCTTATCCGAGGGGTTATTGCGGGAATAACCTAGAGAAAAGTCGGAGCAATAAGTAAGAGAGAGTGTGTATTCGAATATGTGAACTTGTGATGCTTTACATTGGAGAATGGGCTGCTATTTATAGCAGCAGTAAATGCTAGATAAGGACACGTGTCAATAATCTGGTGATGGAGGGTTCACCTCAACCGGGGTGGCACTGGCATACGCATGTGCACCGCATTAAATGCGGTGGGGGGATGTGACGCCGCATTAAATGCAGTTGTTGCTTATCTCCAAAGGGAATCTCCGATGTTTGTGCTGGAACGAAGGCTCCCCTGTGACCGGGGGCTCTGTGTAGCCGAAGGCTACCTAAGTGCCGAAGGCATACATGAGCCGAAGGCTCCTGACTTCCGCCGTTTTCTCCCATTAGGTTTGTATGCGCAAGTTTAGCCGTCCTGTGAGATTTTTGGAGCCTTCGTCCATGGGGCCGAAGGCACCCGTATGTGCACTGTGGGCCTGTGTTACAGTAGTAGGAGTCTGTGGACCGGGGGTCCGTGGTCCATATACTCCATCAGAAGTCCCTCACTCCTTTTGCCGAAAGGTACTTGAGGGAAAAGGAGTAATTTGCGTTTTTCCTCTGGTGTTGGCGTTTGTAATTTGTAGTTTGCAAAGTAGTGGGGGTTTGTGTTGCGTGATTTGTCGAGGGCAGTCCCTCAGTCCCCCATATTTTGGGACTGAAGGATCATGTTGATAATGCTTTTAACATTTTGCGATTTCCCGAAGGGGTTCTCCAGTCCCCCACTCTCTGGGGCACATGTAATGTGGTGAAATGGAGTAGAGCAGTGCCTGTTCTCAGCATAGGGCCGGGGGCTGAACCTTTTCGTTTCATTTTGGGGGGATGTCTCGTTAAAAACCTCATTAGGAAAAACCCTGTGAGAAAAAATCCTAACGAGGGAAAAAGAGTGCATCGGGTTCCCCCAATGATGAATCGAAAAGGTGGTCCTTCGATCTGAGTATAATGTTGAGGTCGGGGGTTGTCCGCGATCTGAGGGCTTCTTTGTTGATTAGCTGAAGGCTACTTGTGATGACCCGAGGGGCTAATTGCCGGGAACATTCCCCTGAAGATGTCTGTAGTTGATAAGCATGGGTGCATATTTCGGGGACGCCGAGGGGATGAATGCCAGTGATTGTTCATGTGTTGCCGAGGGGGGCTCTTTGGTTCTCATGAGGGTTGACTATGTTTGTTGTTTTGCCTGAAGGGTGCCAGCTGAAGACATCGTTGTGAGGTGACCGTTTGAAATATAGTCGTTGGGTTATGACCGTTAGAGATATAACCGTTGGAATATGACCGTTGCAGGATGGGGTCCATGTGGCGTGTGCCCGTTGGCTGTCCTGGGCGGGTGTCACCGGTTGGCTGAGGCGTCGGTCTGTAATGATGGTTTTTGCAATTGGGGGACCAATTCTTGGCCCAGGCCCGAAGTGTGGAGCCTATAAATACCCCAGGCCTAACCTCATTCTCCTTTACGCATTCTTGTTGTAGCGAAGCTCTAGCAAATTTTCTAGAGAGATAAGATGTTTCCTTCGATCAAACTCAGCTTCCAAGGTCAGTTCTTCACCAGTTCCTCGCCTTTTTAGCAAGTTTTGCTTTGTGGTCTTAGATTAAGTGTTGGAGCCTTTAGGAAAAAAATTCTTCCTTTCTCGATTCCTTTCTCCACGAACTTCCGAAGGATGTCGTCCGCTACTGACTCCCAAGATATCTCCGGAGAGCCCTCCGTCCAGGCCGAGACCTGGTCGGAAGAAAGGTCAGCGAGTGGGGAGCCCTCGTCTGACAATGACTCAGCAATCGCGGTGGAGATGCATAAGAATTTGGTGGCCAAAGGTGAAGCCGAGGACTTCGAGCAAGTGATAGAGGATGAGGAGCTTGCCCTCGCTGTGCAAACTGCCGAGGAGGAGGAAAAGGAGCGGTAGAAAGTCACCATCGCCATCCTTCCCCCACGCAACGCCGGTGAGACCAGCCTGCATCTCCCGGCCACTCAACCCGGAGCCTCTCAGGGTGGCCCCGAGAAAGAAGATCAAGAAGACGGTGGGGGCCCCCAAGAAGAAGGGGAGCCTTGCAGACCTTGGGAAACCCGTCGGGATTCCTGAGGGGTACTCATTTTTTAACATCGCCGCTCTCGAGCTGAAGTCAAGGGCTGATAGGGCGGTATGTTATGTCACCCAGCTGCATGTTGGGCCTTTGACAACTGTGGTGGAACCGGGACCCGATGATGTGCTTTCCCGGGCTCTTGAGGGGTGTCTTGTTTTCCACGTGCTCTCAGTTTCCATGGGCCTCTGGTTCCCTCAACATCCCTTCCTCCTTGAATACCTCCGGTACGTAGGCTTGGCCCCCTGCCAGTTAACTCCTAACAGTCATTCTTACATTGCCGGATTCTTGCACCTCTGCCGGTCCTAGGGGGTGGCTCCCAGCCTCGATCTATTCTTTCAGAGCTTCAACCTCTGTCGGGGAGGCCACGCAAACGGCGAGGGCTTTGTGAATTTACAACAGATTGCCAAGTGGAGGCTGTTTACTGAGGCGCCCTCGTCGCATAAGGACTGGAAGGACCGTTTTTGCTACGTTAGGCTGGCCGAGAACCCATTCCCGGGGGAGTTGCGGGATCGTTTCAGACGGCACCCGAAGGTGGGGAATGCCGCCCTCGAGAAGAACGTTAAGAAGCTTGCCAAGATCCCGGAGGGGCGTGAGAAGCACGTGACAATCAATGATTCCACTCTCGAGGAGGACTTGTATCTCCTTGGCTTTCGTCGCTACAGTTTTCTGGGGGAATCAGATGAGAAGTTTCACATTCTCAACCGAGCCTTCGAGAGCACAGGAGGTAGTTCCCGGGGGCTCCAAATTTTTGCACTTAGAATTTTTTTGTAGTTTAATTTTTGTCCTTGTCTTGACTCCTCAACCCCCTTTGTTTATGTTGTCTTGCAGGTGCCAGAATGGGCGTGAAGAATTTTGCTGGTTTTAAGAAGAAATCGGCCAAGGAGCCGAAGAAGAAGGAGGCGGGCACCCAGAAGCCCGTCGATGAATTCTTCCCGAGGGATGCTGAGCCCTCGGTTATCTCCGTTGATGCCGATGGTGTCGCGGCAAAGAGGAAGGCAGGCAAAGGTGTTGCCCTCGTCGGCAAGAAGTCAAAGAAGGGGGAGACCGGGAAGAAGGCTCCCCCGGTCTTGGTTGTTGATGAGCATTCATCCTCCTCGCCCCTTGTTATGGTGATGATTCCCTCCAAGGCCCCTGTGGATGAGGGGGGTTTGCCCCGGGAGAATATACAGTTCTCCCTTCTCAAGGGGACTGCCATCGTGCACAGCACGGTGGACCCAAGGGAATTCCTTAGGGGTGCCATCCCTTCGTTGGACAGGGCCGTCTTGAGCCGGCTCGAGGATGAAGCCCTCGAGTCCAAGATCCTTCGGTCTTCCCTTATTGTAAGCTCCCGCTTTTCCTTCGCTTTCTTTCTTTTAGCCTTAGCGTATTCTGTATATTACCCAGCCTAACTCTTTTGTTTGTTGCTTACAGGCTTGCATAGCCCTCGGTGAGCAGGTCCAAAGGGCGGAAGAGCTGCGCCTCCAGAAGGCGCAACAGGACGAAACCTTGAGGAAACTCATCCACGACTATGCCGACGCCGTTAGGGGGATGGC